AAAAGAAATAGCGTAGTTCAACTTAGAATTTTGAAGGTAGAAAAGCTGCAAGATATGTCTTTCAGAAGATGAGTATTTAAATATTCCTTACATTTCAGTGTTACTCTGACTAAAACTAAAGGTGTCCTTAAAAAGTAAAATTAAAGCAATTGTTTCAAGTGTCTCTGACAAGCAGTCAGTGAAACAAATCCTGTAGACAATGACCTGCATTCACAAGGACTGAGTAAGAATTCTGACTGCAAGACTTGTAAGGCTTCTGTGGTTACAAAAGCATGCAAGCTGTTATCCGTCTCCTCTCCATTCCTCATATGAGGGAGATTGGGACGATTTGAGAATTCAAGTCATTTCCAAAGACAACAACTTTTGAGAAGACATGAATTTAAACCATCTTTCTAGATACTAAATACCGTATAAATCTGTAGGATACACTGACAAAAATTTGACACTAAACAAAATACACTTTTAACCAAGAAACTTTCTACCTTGTGAGAGATTTAGTTAATAAAGTGCCTATTCACAATGTAGTTCAATATTTTTCAGTCAGCTACAGACATTTCAGCAGACAGCATCAGTGAAGTTGACATGACCAGGCACCAACACCTTTTCCTTCTATATATATCAATATAGAAAAACTGATGAGACCTCCAAATCAGAGGTCAATCAGTGCCTCATTAATTTTTTTCTTGACAGGGCTCACCAAATTCTAAGAAAATTACTTACTTTTAGAAGGAAGTGCCATTGAAAGGTGAATTCCTTATCACAAAGTTTTGAAATAATTTTTATTTAAGTATGACATTCAAACTTTTCAGTTTTTTAAATATTAAAATATATTACATTATATTATAGATTTCAAAAAAGTTAAGTTTGACAAAACATTATCCATAGCTTTGGGACCACTTTGCTTTTTGTAAACATCCATCTCACCACTAAATGATGAGCTGCAAGAAGTCAGACGGGAATAATTCTTTAGTACACTTCTTTCTCAAACTGCATATCTTTAGAGACAGAACAACTGTTGTGCTGTATACTCATTCACAACAACTTATACTAGAGAAATAAACCATTTATAAGCACATACACATTTCCAAAAGAAATCATACTACTGCAGCATGAAACTGTAGAATCCCGGGCCAAAAGGAAACACATTAACAATCTCATCTCAATAATACAGAAGAATGGCTACTCTGTACTGCACTATACACACAGGATATAGAGAACTACAATCCCTCCATGAAGAATATAATTTTACTGAGACTAATCCTTTTATCAACTAGGAAAAAATGGAAATGAGATAATCAGAATGCTTCCTGTTTAGCTCAGAACACATGCAAACCCAGTAAAAAATCAGATTTGCATGGTTGTACAGACCACACCAGGAAAGTTTCAGAAGTAAACAGGCTGCAAGTGCTCCATGTACTGACTTGAACTTTACATTAATCTCAGTCAACATCAAAATTGAAGCAGGAGATAAGACAGCCCCAAAGAAAGTGTATTTGTGTTCTGCTTTCAGAGCAAGAGCTAAACCTGATGGAATGGATGCAAGGCAACTTGGCACTGGTATTGCCTGTTGTGTGAAAACATCCTGCATATCAATCTCCTTGAAACTGATACAGAAACTACTGCAACAGAAGGACTTAGATCTTGAGATGAAAGTATCTGAACTGCAGACTTAAATAAACTTCCAGAGACATGAGCTGTTTTCCCTCACCTGACATCCATATGCTCTCAGAGTTTATACAGGTATCACTGGAGACAGTTGCAATTGTTACTTGGTAAGCCTTGACCATGGAATATCTCACAACTGCTATTTATCAATGTCAGGTAGTAATCTGGTTGAATATAACTTTTTTTTAATAAGGTAACTGAGTAACATTAAATACAGTTAAAAAGTGATATTTTTTGGCATTAAGACAAAATTGTGAGCACAATAAACACCAAAAGCAAAGATTTAATATACTTGCTGCGACATTATATTGCTCAACTCCTGAATGAATTTATTTGCATACACCTGCCCTTACATGGAAAATGCAACGTTTATCAAAAGATGTTACAAACTTTTACAATGTATCAATCAGTGCATTACTGTTGTCCCAGTAAACCTATGCACATTAGTTATATGCCCAAGAACAACTCTTACAGACCCAGATTTACCACCACTGTGGGGAGTCAAAACACCCCAACCTTTAAAACACTTCTTAAAAGTTAAATTAGTGCTGGTATCATGTGCCTAACAGCTTTAGAAATTGATGTTTCATCTACAAGAATGACACAGGTAGTATAAGACTTCTCATATTTCTGCCCAAAAAATGGTATTGTGGCTAGAGTACCTGTGTAGCTCCCATGCTCTATGGAGCACGACCAGAGTTCCTACCAGTAACAATCAAGATTCATCCACAAAAAACTGCAATGAACTAATTTCCTACTGCTAGCTGAGACAGTCTTGACATACTGAAGCAGAACCTAAATTCACAACTTCATCTGAAAAAGGTCTGGTATCTTACCAGTCAGACAGTTCAGCTTTTGTGGCTTAGACTTAAACCTCGTGGCCAACAAACTGCCACCCACAGAACTGCAGTTCTGCATCCTGAACAAGGGACTGAAAGACACCAAAGTTGAAGCTCACTCCACTGAGGTAAAGGAGTGAGCTTTATAAGCTAACTGAACAAAAATAAGGATCTCTGTATTTGTGAAAGTCAAGTTAATGATCATTAATATCCAAACAAGTTTTCATGACAACAAAGAAATGCACTTGACCATTTACAGCAAAACAGATTTATACAATAACAACAAGTAACTTATGGCCTTGTCTACCTGCAAATGAATTCCTTCAGCAGGTACACACAATATATTGCTCCGTCATAAAAATATATATATTATCTCTTTCCTTTAACATTTAGGTATATAAATATTTTACTGAAGAACATGCATCATTTAGATAAACAATTGCAAGAACATCCTTTGAAAACACAGAGTTCTTTGCCATTTAGCAGTATAAAACGATTACATAAACAGCAATTAAAGTCAAGACAAACCAATACAGCAGTAAGCAGTTCATTGTGTGCTAGTCCAAAGCACCTTTTGCAACAGATTATAAAATACATACACACAGAGAATGCACTGTAATGGAGCACAAACAGCATTGTTCCATCTGCGGATTCTTCAGTCTTGTCTGGACTCCAAACTTACTGTTCACTTTTCTGCTCTTGTTTTCCATTCAGCTCTTGGTCAACTCTGCTTAGCAAAGAAAGTAGTAAAATTAAACTATGTTAACACAGTCTGATAGCTCGTATTATTAAGAAAAATTATTAACCTTAACAGGAAAACACAAAGCTTTTACATGGGAAAAGTTTTAGTAAATAAATATTAAATTAAGGTTTTTATTTAATGTAGTCATCATGTTTGGGATCTTTTCAATATCCATTTTCCTACCACCCCCTAGAAATTAAATTAAAATTTTTAGGAAACCATTTAAGTAACTACAGCACTTGAGAGGAAGCATTTAAAAAGTGAAGTTTGACTATAGAATAAAAAAACACAGGCTGTGCTCATAGTAACAAATGCAAGCAGGAATACAATACAGGTAACATGACAACAATGGCAAGCAATACCACTCTGATGAATTCATAAACACTGAATTACCTTTAATGTTATAGTAATTAAGCCAAGAAGGTTGAATCAACACAAGTGCAGAGGCTCCTCAACTGCAATACTTTTTCTATTACCTTCTAAGACTCTTGCAATTACCCTGGAAAATTCACCATCATGCTGATGGGTTTGACTTTGTATTTATTTTTTAATATCTGCCTTGGGACCAGCAAACAAAATGCTGCTTTGCAGAAACCAGGGGATGATTGAAAGCCCTGCACAAAATGTACTTTTCCTTTTGACAGTACAAAGCTACAGTTTTGATAACATCATCTGGCAAATAAGTTGTGCATGGAGGTAAATTCATTTTAAAACCAACAGCAGTTCTAAAGCGAGAGACTAAGACCAAGTCTGTCCTAAGCAATGTGCCTAGCATAGCTGTCCAGCTGTCAAACCATAACCAGCCAGTTTTTCAAAATGACAGAAACAGTGACAGCTCCTTTGGGCCATGAACCCATAAAAAGGAGCTGCTTTCTACCTGATTAAAGGCTCAGTATCTAATTCTGCCTGTGATCTCTATATCTAATTTTCACTGAAGAACATACTGCTTTTTACAAAAGTAATGGTAGTATAGGTAAAGTTATCAACAGGGACACTAGAAAATGCTTGTTCTACTGGAGATGTTTTAAATTATTGCTTAATTAGAGTAATTCTTAAAGAATGTTCATCACTAGATTTACATGTGAGCTTCCAGAAATAATTTTAATTCCTTTTATTTCAATCTCAGTGTTCCTCTACCCAATTTAGACAATAAGCCTTCCTTAATAGGCACACAAAGGAAAAATAAAATAAAAACAAAGTTAGCAGCAAAATCTTTCAGTCTGTTAGTGAGTGAAAAAATAACATATAAATTCAAAAGAAAATTAATCAGCTGTGGAATAGCCTGAATAGTTAGCAGGAGACTGGAAATTAACAAAGTGGAAATCCAGTATTTATTAGGAAGGAATGTAGGCACTGCAAATACAAACAGCACTAAAAGACTAATTTAGATTGCACCTATGCAAGTTAATAACTAAAAAGGTAGTGAATACCAAAAAATACAAGATTCAATATTAGAACTTCTTATAGAGTTGCATCTCTGCTAATGCATAGCTACCACTTAGCACCTAAATTCAGCTCATCTCCAGAGATCAATTCCTGTTAGAAACACTGACATTTGATTTAATGGGTTCATACAGAAGCACCACTTTTGCCTCTTGAAGTTGAGAACCCAGGTATCCCCTTAAAAGTGGACATCTCATATAAAAGTATAATAGAAACTATTTGCAAATAGCTGAACACCCAGGGTGAGTTCTTATAGATTCTATACTGCCTGCAAGTACAGTATAGTTGCTGTCATGCATAAAAACTTGGGCACTAGTGCATGTTTATATTTACAAATGCTTATTCCTTTAGGCAAGCCAATCAACTAGGAGTTAGTTGCAGTGCAAATTGTCTTATCTAGATGCAACCCTAATCAAAATATGAATATACCTTTTCTGTTTCTTTCTAAACTTTTCTTCTTCATACCTTGGTGAGGAAAAGTTTAATTTCAGTAAATAAAACATATGAAGGCCAAAATCAACAGAAGCTGCAAACCAGTATTAGTGTCAACAGAATTTGCAGAAACTTATCAAATTTTGAAACTGATATAATTAAGAAAAAAAATACACCGTACCTCCAACATTTACTTGCATTAAACAAAAACCATTAAGATTTAATTACTATGACATAACAAATGAATTAAATACTACCTCTTGCACAGTGTTAGCATTAAAATCTGTATCCATAACAGTTTAAGCCCAGATATAATTCTCCATAGAAATCTGAGAATTAATTATTTAACCAAATCCAGACTTTGCAGAGCAAATGGCTCATCTATATGGAGGGCAGTCTTTTAAAACTCAGAACGACAGTCTGAATATTCATAACACACCCATAAAACCCCAGTCAAAAACATTCCAAAGACAGCACAAGACTGCCTCAGCTTTGTCATGTGTTTCACTCCCACCCCATGAAAATTGCTTTTCTGTCTTACAGAGTTAAATTTGGAACTGACAGCAGCTGGATGTCTGCTGAAACAACATCCACCTGCAGGGGACACGAGACTTTGTCCAGCATGGATGTGCCCTTGTGTGAGTGCTCAGTGACACTGGGCCACCTTCCCCCAGTTTGTGCTCACCTATTATGATGCAGACAACACAGGTTTTATGTGTTATACTCTCTAATGGGCTGTCATCAGCATAGTTACATGTTTTCACCTGGTTTTCTTAAGACCCAAGTTTATGGTTTCTACTCTATTACTGCATTCACAAATGCTCTTGACAAAAGATACATCATCTTATTTCAGAGCACCATTGTGCTGATGTTAAAATGGGTATTTGTATCTGGACAGGAAGGAAAAACATTACATTGAAGCTGTCTTTATTTCTTTACCAAAGCAGTTTAGAACTGTAGTGGGTAGAGTTTCAGCATTTTCCCATTGCTGCTTTTCTTTTAAATGAAAATCCAATGCAAGTGATATTTCAGCACTTGCTTGTTCCACATTTTAATTAAAACACTTTAGAAGACATTATAAATAACTTCAGTATTAACATGCCCACAGTTTCTCACTCAAAAGCCAGTTTAATATACACACTAAGGTACAGAACAACTGGAATTTAATTAAGCCTTCTAGAGACCTTCTCTAGGCTTAATTCACACACCACAACTTAGTAATTGCACAAAGCTCCACTGTGAAAATGACTATACACGAACATTTTGGCTATCCATGCTACTCCATACTAAACTGCCTTTAGCAATGAGGTCAGACACAGACACTCCTCCTAAAGACAGCAACGATCTCAGTTAAGTCATTATGTGCCAAGTGTAACATTCAAACCAAACTTACAACATGTACCAGTCCTAACCCATGATCAATGTAGAAGATGTTGGAATAATAAAACATACTGTTTTATGCATTCTGGGATGCCAACGTATTCCATGGGGATCAGTTCAGCTAGTTCTGCCAGGGTAAAGACATACCTAATTTTTTGGCTGAATTTTGAGCTGTGAAAGAACAAATGCAGGGTACAGTTACAACTCTAAACATTTTTCATTAGGTCAATATTAAAACAGTCTTTTAAGTTCAAAGCAAACAGTTGTCAGAATTATTTATGAAAGAGTTTCCAGAGTATTACCTAATAAAAGGTTTTGTGATGGCCAGGAGCGTTCTGATGAACCAGGAAGGATGAACTATGATCAACGATTTCAGATTTTTCCTTAACCTGAAGGATTTAAACAATGGATAATTACTAGAACAAAAAAGGCAGCATGACCAGGGGTTTTGGAATATATAAGAAGTATGGTTTTAGAAGCACAACTGTCACATAAACACAATATTCTAACATCCCATTATTAGAAGTCAACCTCCATCAGAAGAAAAAATGCTACACTACTGTAAAATAAAAACTAAAGATTCAGTATCAAGTAACATTCCAAGGAGAAGCTTCTTTGAATCTTTTTACACAACTAATGATGAAGTGGTCCACAAAGGACACTCCTTATTAACCTTGTGTTAATACATTAAGTTGTAAGGATATTCTACAATATAACAATTTTCAGTATTCTAAGAATGCTATTTTCACTAAAAAAACCACCCTGAGAACAACAGCAACAAAAAGCATACACAAAACCCCCAACCAACCAAAAAAATCTGCCACACAACACTACCCAGGCATGTTTTTAGCATCACCACCCCACACTGCATAGCTTAGGAAGAGGTTTTCAATACACCAATTTCCTTCATCAGATTTTAACCAGAAAGGACCAGACTCCACATTAAACAGCAGTTTTTCCTAAATATGTCTATCTCTGAGCATGTGAGTATTTTAAGAAAAAATTGCAGAGCTTCTTACCTTCTATCAATTTGCTGGTAACATTTCCTAAGCCAGCCTAAACTTGGCATTTTTCTCCGTGTTGTTGCACCATTCAGGTAAACTATCATATAGTTCTCTGCTACTAACAGCTCTAAAGTGCCAATTACATACCTGGAGAGACAAGCAAATAAAACTTTAATATCCACAATTTTCATCTGAAAGTAATTCCTAGTAGTGCTCAAATATATTAAAAATAACAAAACCCCAGAAAGGAAGATGATTACTTACTTAAATAGATTGTCCATTAGGTATCTGTAGTTAGGCTGGCTGCTCTCAGGCATGAAGCAAACAGCAAACACAACAATGGCATTTAACCCATCACCATAATAACCTAAAAACAAAGAAATAAGCAGCAGTAGTGACAAAGGTGACAATACACTGATTACATTTACACAAAGTCAAGCACATTTAGTAAGCTTTTTCATTATTTACCTTAAAGAGATGTACAAACATCCCTAAGGGCACATTCATACAATTACAGAAAACATCAAAGTTTCTTCTTTGTCTACTTATAAAGCAACAGCTAAAGCTGATGTCAATCAAACACTGTACCTATAACAAACGTTTCAGTGTAGAAGCTCCTTGTGTTTAGTAATATCTTATGTTCTTAAAGTTTAGTCAACTTTTCTTCCAACCTAGACTTCACCGAGTCTGACTCTTCACAGGAAAGAGTCTTGAATTGATTTCTGCTTTAGTAGATCGACAGCTAATGTTTTCAATGGCCTAGAAGCCAGAAAATTAGGTAGCAGTGACACAGTAGGATAGAGTACATCTATCTTGTTACATAGGTGCATTTTAGTACATGTGACCAAGGGTACATTTTGGAACTTTAGTTTAATAAAGAATTATTAGATCAACCATGTCTTGACACTGCAGCAAATGAATTACCACAAGTCTTTAAGCCCAAAGGTCTTCCTCTGCCTCCCCAAGTCAGCTTAAAGAAGTAGCTGCCCAACAGTTCCCCTGAGCACACCACCATCCTTACCACCATGACTGATAACTTTTTTGTACGGTTCAATTGCCTTCATGTCCACCCTGTGGTCCTGCTCTCCGATCCTAAACATTCGCCAGCGTCGGCCATCATCCTTCTCCTCTGCCACAGTGTACTCAGCCAGGGAGCCTTTCCTAACAACATCAGTAGTTTTTGGCTTTGGAAGATCATCTGCCAAAATGAGAACATGTTGAAGACCCCTTATTAATACCATGCATAGTTACAACTCCTACAACAGAAGTTAACCACTTTGCTATCTAATCTATTTTGGTATTCTTCAACCAGCCAGATACACTAGGTGATGTCATGGGTATTTTATTAACATTCTCATGTTGGCAATTATCTGTTGACTGCAATTGTCTCTATTACAAGTATGTGAAAAATTTCCATTCATGGAATAAGACTAATTAATTGTAGGCTTTTAGAACACAATGAATTTCACCAAAATAGACAAAGTGGTTAACTCCAATGAGAATTACAAAGGTTGATCACAGATTTACATGAAGTATGATTTAAAACATTGAGGTACCTTGCAAGCAGACATGCAGGAAAATCTATTGAAAATTAAATCTAAGTCACATGTGCAATCAAAAGATATGAAATTTGTGCTGACAGCATTCTGTAAGACGATTTGCTCTGATGAAATTATGATTCTTGACTTTGTTGCACGGACCTTACCCAAAGCGAGAAAAACCTACTGCAAGTTAGTTGTCTGTTCCCGAAACAAAGCTGTTAATTCAAACTATCCTTCCAGGAAAATGAAGGCAGCAGCATTAAAGGAAGAAAAGACAGAAACCCTTTTCAGCCACTTTTAAAAATAAGACACAAACATCCGGAACATTTCCTTGGCATCACTGCAAAATTAACCCTAAATACCAATTCTTCTTCATTAAAACAATGAAAATCCTTTTACAAAGTTAAACACACAGTCTCTGTCAAGTAAACCTCCCCTGCAATACGCCTTTAGCTATTTAAAAACCAAAACCACCCCCTTATTCCAAAGGGTGTTTATTTCTCCACAGATAGTGTTTCAAATGCTAACAGTGAAAAGAAAACTTCCTGTTTATACAGGAATTAAAATTATTTTCTTTTCAGGATGAGGAAATAATTGAGTTTACATGTTTATTTATTAGAGATATTCCTAAACCATGACGTTTACAGATGTTAAAGACTCCAACAATTTGCCCAACACAACCGTTCTTGGCTTCCATAAGGGGGCCTTAAAACATCATTAAACTCCAAGTTTAAAATTTGTGCTTTAACTCCTACACAAAACATTTATCTCAAATAAAACTTGTTAGAATCTCCAGGTTTTGCCTACAAGATATAACACCTATTAATGTCTTAAAACTCCAATCATTACTAGTGTGGCTACAGCTACTTTAACTTCCTATGAAGTGCTTTCACAATTCCTTGACATAAAATAGAGGCTCTTCTACTGCCTCTGGTCAATCTGGAAATATGCTTACTCTAAGGCTACTGAACTTTTCCCATTCTCACCACAAAAAAAGATTTAAGATCAGGTGTTACTTAGTATTTTTAAAAATACTATTCAGTCCTCCTTAAATTGCAATTCATCCATTTCTGAGTAGCTAATCTATATTCCTTTGTTTGGCTCCCTCCATTTAAAACTCATTTCTAACACATGTAAAACACTTTGGGGACTTTTTCCTGTTGGGTAGCTCTTAAAAACTTACTGCAGTAGAGGATTTTCCAAAACTTCAAGTCTTATAGATGCAGATATAAATGATCTTCACCTAAGTTTATCTGCAGCTACAGCTATTAAATGTTTGCCTGTTTACTAATCAGATGAGATCTGATTTGCTCTTTTAAAAGTCACTGCAGCTATTTCTAATTCCTAATCTAATCACTCCCTTTGTATTTCTCCTCTTGTACTATTGAGTCATAGCTATTTCTTACTAGAGAAACAGTCGACCTGCACATAAGAAAATATTTCAGAGCATCAGACAAACGGACCAAAATACTTACCTTCCCATTCAAATTCATTGCTATTTTCTGAAGGAGTATCTAAATCATCCAAATCAATCTCCCCACTCTCATCCAAGTCATCAGACAAAACAGATTCCTCATTGGGATCCAAAGTTAAGCTAATATCTGGAGCTATTAGTTTCTTCCTCAATTTGGTTCCATTACCCTCTGTATCTGAAGAAAGCAAATTATTTATTTTCAAAGCTAAAGCAAGTTTAGATAAGCATATTACCAAGACAGAAGAGCATAGTCCTTTCTCATAATGCATTATAAATTAATGCTCATAATTTAAACAAGGTATCTTTGGAATAAAACTTTAGTAGGAGATGGAAAGAACAGCAGGTAAAAGTTCTCAATTTACCCACTGCACACACACAGTCTGAGCAGGGTGGCAGACACCAACCATAATCCCTACAGGAAAAAAAACTTGATGAGCTGCCACCACCTCAGACACTACTACCCCTTCCTGCTGCATCCAAGTTCCCTGGAGCTGCTCCAGATATTACACTGAATAAATCTTGTAAATAATACAAGATTCATGTCTCTAGTACTTGCTTTTGTTAGGGTTCAGTGACATCATAAAAACCAACTTTGATAAAATAGAAAATAATATACAAGCTGAAAAAAAAAAAAAGACTGACAGACAAAGTGAGAACAGAGAATTAAAGAATCTGTTCTGTGAATACACAGAATGCTTTGAGATACAAGGCAAATATTGGCATGATTTAGACAAGAGTTGAAAGCAAGGAATAAATCCAGCACTGGAAATGCCCCAAGTAAAGCACACAGACAAAATTTTAAAAATTTAAAATTAAAAACCTCCAAAACCCCAACCAATGAAACAAACAAAAAAAACCAACCCCAAAACCCCAAAACAAATTCAAGCAAAAAAATCCTCCCACACCAAGGAGCTTTAAAGCAGCCATTTAAGTAGGAAGCAGTCAGCTGGACTGGAATATTCTTACCTGCTTCACTTTCTGTTCCAGCTGCAGCCAATGCATCAGACTCAACAGGATCATCCTCTGGCAGGGGCCTGGGATACAAGGTAGAAATTAATGTTACACACCTGGTTTTACTTTTTTTTTAATGCTGTATATTTAGACTTACACACTACTACATAAACCAATTGTGGGATAGTACTGAATTAACTTTACTTATAGGCTAAGTTCAAGCTTTCAGTTAACAAACACCAAGGCAGCAGAAAATTCCTTTACAGCATTCAAGTGACCATCCCTTCCTGTGACAAATACCAAAACACTGACTACTACCAGTGTGTCATCTTTAAGAAAACTTGTCACATTCTTGCTTGACAAAATTTGACTTGAAGTGAATTACTCAAGTAGTTTAGTCATGTTATCACAGAATGTGGCTAAAGCTGATTTAGTTTTTTTGTAGGCCCAAGCATCAGTAGCAGCATTAACTTTTAAAGACATTCCTCATAAATTTACTTAATGAAATATTTGAGCCATGAGGCACTGGGAGTAATATGCAAACAATGCAGTTGCAAAATATTATCACAGGAAATAAACTAAGCCAAGCTTAAAATCTTCATTTCAGATACACTGGAAACTTCAACAGGTGCAAGCCTGAAGAAATATGCCACAAAACATTTTCAAAATTGCTATATTAATGGAAATCACTTCAAGATTATTACTGAGTATTAGTTCACCAGGAAGACCAAGAGGTAGCCTACTGCTGATGTTATGTGTTTGATCCAAATTACTTTAAAAAAGAATTCAAAACCTTGGAAAATCTTCATCTTGCCACTCTTCCTTAAACTCAACCCCTTCCATTCTCCAGCTAACTTGAATTGCTAACAGAGACTCCTGATCAGGCAAAACCTCTGGTCTTCAGCACAATGGGCTAAAGAGGAGCTGCAGGAACATAACAGAAAGTGTTAGTTCAATACTGTGGTAATTCTCATAGTTGCAAACACATCCTTTAACTTATCTTCAAATTGAGGTATTGTGCAGAATAAAAACCAAAAACACAGGGAAAAGTTTTGTGTTTTCTTCCATTTATTTTTTTTTTCCAGACAAAGCTGCTTGTGGAATGGTTTATCATACAGTAATTCAGGTTGGAAGGGATTTCATGCAGTCAAGGAGGATCAACCCCTCAGTTAAAATTACGGCCTTGAGCAACCTATCATTTCTGATTACACCAGTTCAGTCCAAAATGTAAGAAATCTGATGTGTCTCTAGATTCTATAGAATTAATAAGTGTATATTTTGAGAAAAAGTACAGATGGTCAGATCTAAACTACAAGCCATTTAGAAAGAAAAAAACCCCAAACACTTTAAAGAAAACTATTTAAGACAGTGTTTTGGAGAACTCACCCTATGATGTGCAAGTAAAGCTGTGTTTTTTCAGGCTCACCCATCACCAGCAACAAGGAATCCCCAATAATGGAACATGGTAAACCATTCTGCTGACATAGAAGTCCAAACCAGTTGAAGCTCTTGGCTGTGCTGGCTCTAAAGATTGGCAGAAGCAGGTGAACATATCAATGAAGATATTGAGACAACCAACATTCATCAAAACAACAAACTATGGTATTTTGCAAAAAAGCAATCAACACAGAACACCAGCAAGTACGAAGTTTGAATGCAACCAATACTGCTTATTAATCCATATAGATGTATTTTTTTTACATGGCTGAAAACCAAATTACACTTACTGTTCTGTAGGATCAGCTTTCCTTTCATGACAAACCCAAATTTTTCTTCTCCTGACCTGATTTTAAAATGTCCTGCAATGCTTCAAGCTACGCTATGCAAGTTGATTAATAAAGAAAAATTAAGTGATTTTTTTTTTTACTCCAGTACTACAAATTAAACACTAATGATCTAAATTTCAGCCTATTTTACTGACATTTCCCTGGTTTGCTCACCCAGAAAATTTAAATAAAATTTCTAGAAGGTAGCAACCTAGTTCCTCTTAAGGGCCAGATTGTCCTTTATTGAGACATTCAGCACCTGCACACCTCTCAGTTGTTGTTCATCAGCAGTGTGAAGAAGTTGCCCCAGCGAGTGCCCTCCCAGCTCTCCCTGTCTGTCCTGACTAAATCACTGCTGGGACACAAGTCCTGCCTCTCACCAAACTGATGATGTTCTCAACATACAAGGTGTGGGTACTCCTGGGCACCAACCTGCTGGCTCTAACCGTGGGTTTTAAATATTCGCTCAGATTTGGATCAGCAGTAACAGTGACTGTATGCAGAGCTCTCTATGCATTTGTTTCAGGACATTGAGATGAAGCCCAAGGAGTTTCCCCAGGGCACTCAGCAGTCAGGAGCATGCAGTGGTTACCAGCAGCATGGAACAAACCAGCTGATGCCGATATGCAGGTGATTATAAACCTGAAAGAAAACCTTAACTCATGACTTTACTCTTAAAGGACAAAAAACTGGCAGTGAAAACACCCAAACACCATCCCACCCCCAAAGCCTGTCACTGTGCTGGTGGCTGTAAGATGCTCCTCCTGAGCTCATGGCACTGCACTCCCTATACAGCTTCTCAGACAGTTTAAAGCAGGGGTTTGCTCCAAGACTTGAACAGTTTTCTTCCCACACTTTCAAAGAATACCAAACACCAAGTAACACCTACTAATTTCAAATGGACAGCCTTTCAGTGCACAAAATTTCCACCTGCACTTACTTCATCACACTGACATAAACCTTGTTGTACTAAGACAAGAGTTTAAAAGCTACTCGTGCTGTTATCTAAGCTTTTATTGACCACTCCTCACATTACTTGAAGAATTCTCATCAGCAGCTTCTCATTAAGGTAGATAATAAAGCAATAATTTGCTAGGTACCACATAGGTACCTAGAAAGCAATTTCCAAGGCAAGCTTGGAGCTCAACTTCAGATATAACCAAATTTCCGTTTCCAGCATCCTATTTAACATGCAGACTAAGCAGCTGTTTTGGATGTTTTGGCTTCAAGTCTCACCTATAAAAGCGCTTTCATTTGTCAACTAGAAGAATGAGAAATAAAGAAGGAAGGGTAATCTCTTCAAGAAAGAAAAATCATGACTTCAGAGTTATTTTATATCAACTAATATAAATGCTTACAAGCAGGCAAAAAAAATCTGCTTATACAAACAAAAGCTGAGTTTAGAATAGTCTTATCCCTCCTGCAGCACTGCTGACATGCTTTTAACAGAGCCTGTTAAATTCAGCTGTGAATCTAAAAACATAACTTGGAAAATGTATTATATTTTAATAAGGCAAGTATTTATCAGTCACATAGAAAAATAAAAGCAAATAATTTCTACTTGATCCTAGCACTCTTTACGGCCAGCTCAAAAACTTTTGGTTTCTAAAACTGATCATATCTTCCATTGCTCATTACTTTCTATTTTGCATAGAGAAATAAAAGATGGAGAGTTATCAAAAGATCAAAATCTTCAACACACTAAAGAATATCTGGATGCAGGGTTGCCAGGAGGTTCTGCTCTCTTAGTGGAGCCACTGGACTTTAGTACTCTACAGCACCTTTTATATTTTAGAGTATCTCAACAGGCAAGTTATGATATTACAAAAAGGCAACACATTGCTCAAACCCACTGCTCTTTCACTACAGCTAATGAAAAAATTTCCATTCCAGAATAGCAGGTTAAACCTACTTAAATTTGCATTTGAAGAATATCATTGTACCACAGATCAAACATCAGTGTTTTGATTCCTTTTTCCTAGAAGAATAGGTAATTTTCAGTTTCTCATTAATAACAAGCTGCCTGAGCTGGTAGGTTCTGGAATATCAACTACAACAGTGTTAAGAAGCCTGTTAAAAACTGCCATTTATAAAAATTTACAGTACAGCTAAACAGAGACTCAGGTCTGTCCCAAATACCTAAAAAATAGTGGGGCAGCAGGGGTAGGACCAAAGGACAACAGAAATCATGAGATCAGTTTATTCATGAACTTAAAGGCTGCTTGCAAAAATTATTATTTAGGTTTTCACCTCTGAGTTCTCAGGCAAACACACAATTACAAGCCAGACATTTCCATGGCCACATCTGCCTATCCAGCACAAAGACCTACATTCAGTCCTTGATCAGGAGCAGCCCAGCATCTAAAACAGAATAAATACAAAGTTTAATTTTGCAAGACAATTGCAATGTCAAGCATTTTTACTGAACAATATACCTGAGAGTCAAAGAACACAAAGCTGTTTCCATCTCAAGAAGTCAAAATCAACTTCAAAACAAGGCTAGCCTACGTTTTCCCCCCACGTTTCACCTTCACTGTGTCAACAGAAACATTAAATGACTGTCAAGTTAATTCCAGGTTCCAGGCATTAAAAAGGTGCTTTTAAGAGTAATTTTCACATAGCAAGCCTAATCAAGGAACAGACACATCTTCTGGTACACAAACCCACAGGATGTTGCTCACTGCAATTTCTAAATGTTTCTGTAATTCCAATGGTTTTTAGAACGTGGCCACATTAGCCATAAATCCAAGACAAGTTTTCTAAACCTGAAGATGGACCTAGGAACTTAACCACTTTGCAAGTTTGCAAAATGGGACAAAGCAAGGACATATAGTTAATAACAGAAAAATTGCCTCCTTTTACTCCCTTCTTTTAGCATCAAAGCACAGAAAAATCACACAGCTAAAAGAGAAAACTTCTGAAAATTCCTGCTTTCCTCCCGAGGATACTACTTTAAACTCCACATCCAGAGAACGGAAGGGTCTGTATTTCTGCGCCACTCAAATTAATTAAAGGTAAACACTAACTTCTCAAAACAATCCCAAAACATTTATACCCTGCCCAGATATTCCTTTGTAAGACTTAAATACGCATACAAGTCAACCAGAAATAATCAACCACTATTTAGTGTATTGCATTAGTAGCAGGAAATCAGGAAGAACTAAGACGAAAGGCACCAGAAGGCAACTCTGACTTCCGCGACACGGCTCTGCTACGCCTGCAGCGGAACAGCCGCTCTGTGCGAAATACTGCGGGGCATGGCAAGGGATGCTCCCCTCGAAGATCTGCGTGTCCACAGCTCTCCCCTCCGCGGCGGCAGCGGCACGGCGGGGGAGCCGCGGGCGCGGCCGAGGAGCTGCTCGCGGCCACCGCCGCCCCGGCCGGGCCACAGCGCTGAGCCCACCGCCCCCTGCGCACCGGCGGCCGGGCCGCGGCCCCGCCTCGCCCCGTGCCCGCCCCGCGGCTCCCGGCCCGGCGCTGCCGCCCCTCCACGGCCGTACCTGACGGGAGCGGGGCTGGGCCGCGCCGCGCGCCCGCGCTCACCCGGAACTGCATCCGCCGCCCGCGTCACGTGACAGTCCCGGCCGCGCGCGGCTCGGACACTCGTGCGCATGCGTGAGCAGCGCGGGGCGGGGCCGGCGCCGCCGTGAGGGAGTGAGGAAGGGAGTGAGGGAGGGAGGGGACACAGTGCCGCGGAACAGAACAGAACAGAACAGAACAGGCGCTGTGAGGGCGGAACCATAGGGACCACCGAAAGCGGCTCCCGGCTGCGCACGGGCACCGTAAGAGTGACACTGCGTGCACGACAGCTTTGTCCAAATGCTCCTGGTACTCATTCAGTCTTAGTGCTGTGACCAGTGCCCTGGGGAGCCTGTTCAGTGCATTAGCACCCTGTGGGTTAAAAGCCTTTTCCTTGTACGCAGCCCTGCCCTGACAGCTCCAGCCGTTCCCTCGGGCCTGACTTGGCCACAGGGCAGAGATGAGTGCCTGTCCCTGCAGCCCGCAGGGAGTTCGCCCGTCAGTCTCCCCCAGGCTGAACCGGCCAAGGGCCCTCGGCCAGCCCTGCTGTGGCTGAGGGACAGGGACGGGCCCTGCTCCGGGCAGCCCTCTGCTGGAGGTGATTAACGCTAATTAGCTGCTGTCCCTGCACTCGGTACCGCCCTGCCCCACTGCCCGTCCCGCTTGTCGCAGCACGGTCGAGTCCTGGGTCGCCCCCCGTGGGACACGGGACGGAAAACATCAAATCCAGATGTGCAGAGCTGGAGTGCCTGATGCTTCAGGAGCTCAACAAGGTGTAAGATGAGTGTCAAAAGCACGAGGGGAACCTCCTGCATGAGGGAAAAGAGCACAGGTAATGTCAGCACTAACACAGCGGTAGCACAGGTACCGAGGAAAACCTCAGAATAGCCGCATCGTTTGCAGGTACAATTTCACCTGTATAAATAACAGCATCCAAAATACAGACCTTCATCACAGTAAGATCATGGGAAGGTAGATAAATCTAATTTCTTTTGTCTCTTTCACGTGCCGAATGGTAATGGCACCAGGTTTAGAAGTAAAGTTTTGGCTAAGGTTTAGAACTTGCCACTAACACATATTACACAGACAGCTACTGACTTGATCACAGCTGATCTATTGCCCAAAAGACACAACAATAGCAGCAAAGTTTGTTTTATTGTAGACTACTAAATGAATTTGGAATGAATGTACTGACATGCAGAGTGTGGAAGGAATTAAAAAGGGATTTAAGCGTGCAAAAAATGCATAGAGGAATACAT